TATATATATATATGTATACGGCCAAATGTATTTATTGTTAATATTTAGTATTATTAATCTGAATCTGCAGAGTAACAAGTGAATAAAGTCGTTAGATAAACGGAGTGGAGTAAAAGCAGAACAGGACACGGGTGAATTAGAGATGAAATAAAAGTTGATTTTACTTTAAAGTAAGATGTATTCGTCCATTATAGGAATTCTACTTATCGTTGTTTCATTCAAATGTATAAGGAATGTAATGACTTGTGAAACCTAAGACATGCACGCTTTATGAGTGGATGAATTAGGAATTATCTGCTAACCGGCAGAGACGAGACACGGTGAGCGTATTCCGGTGAGGTCATTTTATTTGCAGGAGGGATCTTCTACAGTAAATGAAGAACTTTGGGTTTGTGTGTGAGTGTGCGTGTGAGTGTGCGTGTGTCATAGACCACCAGCAGCAGCTCCAGTTTACACATGCCAGTGCCAGGATGTTAAATCATAGAAGTCAGCGGCCGAGAGCCCAAGAGAATGAAAGAAAACAGAAAACAGACCTGGAACAAAGACTCCATTATCCTCCACGTCTCTCTCTCTCTCTCTCTCTCTCTCTCTCTCTCTCTCTCTCTCTCTCTCTCTCTCTCTCTCTCCCCATCTGGGCTCGTTGCATCTGTCCTGCATGTGGAGGCCTTTCTCAGCAACGGTCAGACCGAGAGAGAGAGAGAGAGAGAGAGAGAGTCTGAACAATAAAACAACCTCTGCTCCTAAAACATGTTTGACATGTGTGCCGAGGATTTCACATCATTTCAGGGCAGTGATTACTGTTTTACCCCCAACGCTCAGGGAAACTCTCCAGCATTTTGTGGTTCATGCTGATGATTTCCAAATCTGGAACTTTTAACCACAAAACTAAATCATACCAAGTCTTCCATTAAAGCTCTCTTATATGTTGTATTTTGAGAATTAAGGGAACATCTGCGTGTAGTGAAGAACATTAAAGGCACAGCATTCCAGGGGATCTATTTGCAGAAATGGAATATAATGTTCATAAATATGTTTTCATTGGCGTTTAATCAACTGAGCCCTTCATATCTTCATAGCGAGCAGGTCGTCTTCAAAGAGTATATACTGTATATACTACAGATATTTACCTCAGGAGTTGACCAAAATGAAACAAAAGAGGGGAGAAAATATAGACATGAATTCATCGGGTGGCCAGAAACATGATTCTATGTATTTTGTAATGTAACGCCATGTTTGTTTGATGGGTAAAAAGGCAACAGAACAACTTTATAAAGAGCTAATATCTCAAATGTGTACGTGATGCGTATGTGGAACCTTTGCTATCATAATTAAGCATCAGCGTCTCTTGTAGGTCCACTTTATGCCGTCTTTCCTCCAATTTCTGAACACATTTAACATGTTTTTGTTGCATTTATTACTCATGACAGACATGATGTAAAAATAATAAGAGTGCTCTTTAATTGTTGTTTAATCATGATACAGACTACTGAGTAACCGGTTTGTCTTGCTGTAGTTGTCGGACACATGGAAATGGTGATGCGTCTCCTATTAAAATGCAGCTGTAATGTACAGCCTGTCGCAATTACTGCGTCTGAGACGGACGCAGTAACTGCCAGTAATCTGACGGATTTTCCGCGAATGGGATTGAAAGAGAGAGGCTCGCTGAGAATTAAGAAGGTACAGATCATTTCCTCCCAGATCTGGAACCCATCCAGGACAATTTTACCAAGCAGTCATTGTGTGTGTGTGTGTGTGTGTGTGTGTGTGTGTGCGTGCCCTCTCACATTAACCTATGACTCTAAGGAAAAGAGATATCATGTTGCACACTGAGGTATCACATCGTTTACGAAGGCTTTGCTCCAGAAAAAACATATTGTATCAACAAATTCAGTGTCTAAATATTTATATGTGGTTTTTCGAAGGACTGTATTTAAAAGGCGAATGTATTTCATATATTACCTCATTGTTGGACACCAGATATACTGTATACACTTCTATCAGTAACACCACAGGTCATTAACACCCATGGACACCACCCAAAGAGTTACACCATCCAGAAGTTGGATATAACTTAAATACATGAGTGTAAAACCTCAATGAAGTACACAATCATCATATTTGGATCCCTGATAGTTGAAGGTTCGTCATTCCACTGATGTTCTTTGGTTTCAATATTTCTTTGACAAACTTTAAACCTACTTTAATTTAAGTATTTTTAATTGAAGTAACAAGCAGTAAAGACAACACTGTCATAAATTCCTATTTTCACCAAATTCCTTGTATATGTAACGTACTTGGCAATAAACAGTTTCTGATTCTGACGACGTGAAGCGACATTATTATTCATTTGGAGTCATACTTCTGGCTACCTGGGTAACATAAGTATATTTACTCTCTTTGAGCTCTGTTTTTGGTCTCCAACTCTTGGAAGGAGTATTTGTCTCTTTAGTCTCTAAAGGCTCCACTATGCTCACCAGCTGGTCTCTGTCAGTCTGCTGTTTGGCGCTGAGCAGGTAGTGTACAGTGGCTTTAACAGAGCTGTTTGAGTACAACTACACATTGTGGGCCATGAAAGTAAAACAAGGAGTTGAAGAATGCTGAGGAGCATTGAGTGATTCTCTGTGGGGTCGTCACCACGAGCGGCTCATTTCACATTATACATTTCATCCACTGTTAACATTGATTAGAGCAGCTTATAACGAAGTAACATGATTATTTTTTTAAGTTTTATTTGACCTTCATATGAAAAGAAAAAAACATTGAGAAAAAAACACATACACACGTATTTCACATGTTTATTTGAATTGCTGCTCACTAGTTGATGTGTTGCTGTGCACATTTGCATACTGACCCATTTGAAAAGTTCACTGATCTTTTTTATTTGAATCAACAAATAGTGCTTTGGGCCAGCCCTTGGGTTGCTGTTAAGCAACTTAGATTATTGGTTTCCAAACTGCTGGGAACACACAGTTCCTTCCTGGCGGTGTATCTAATTATTGAATCTGTGGGAGACGCTTAACATCTGGAAGAAAAAAAAAAAAGCCCCACATGGTGTCGTGCTCTGCTTAGTTTATTCAGCAATACCAGCCCACCAGTGTCCTGTGCTGCATCATCAATATTACAACAATAAAATCAAATGAAATGACTGCTTCAATCAAGACAGTGAACGTGAAGAAATCTGAGATAAAAGCAGCCGTTTGTTGTTCTTAAAGTTGTGTTTGTGATGTATCTTACTGCGTCTCTCTCACAGGCGATCGACCGCTTCTTCCTGATGTAGTTTAACTCCTGTCTAAACCCCATCATCTGTTCCCTTTTCTACCTCTGGTTTAAAAAAGACAAAACACTATCAAACCTATTGTTTCCTTTCAGATGCTGCAGCCTGTGAGGCCAACAACCTGTAGAGAGAGACACTGTGGAATGAGTGAAAGGGCTCTTTGTGTTGTGTGTTTAATAATCCATACATGAATCTATATAAATCTATATTTTAGATGTGTGTCAAAAGTCTTTAAACCACTATTAAGGAAACAGCAGATTGTATGAGCTTGTCATGTCGCAAAAGTATGAAGCTGCAAACCACATGCTGTCAGCTAAATGTGCAATATTGGCAACTTCTCAAAGTACGTTACCTGCAGTACTTGAGTAAAGCAGACCCCCACCTCTGTCGGGGGGGGCAGCAGCAGCAGCAGTACGTCCTTTATAAAGCCTGCAGCGGAGAGGCAGAGGAACGAGCTCCTGGGAACATCTGGAGAGAGCAGCTGCGCACTGAGACCTGCAGGATGCGCTTCTTCGCTCTCCTCTGGACACTCGGCTTCCTGCTGAAGGAGGCGCAGGCGTGGGGCTACAGAAACGGAATATTTCACAACTCGATATGGCTGGGTAAATAACCGCTTCTTCTCACGGTCGTAGCTGTTGTAGCTAACAAAAACGGAGCGACCTGTTGGACCACTGCCCTTTAACTGTTTCTTCTTTGTACTAATTGTGGTCACGTTTAAAGCCCAAATGATCGGATACTTCTACCATCAGTTGTAGTCATAACTCTAGTGGATTACTAGACTATTTACTTCTGCTATTCAGTACAATCTGCAGTTTATTTCAATTATCAGACTTCTGTTTCAACGTTTTTTTACCAGTGCTGCTTTGCATTTCATCACGTTCTGAGCACACTTTTGAATTAAATGTATTCGCAAATGATATACGTCATTTCCCCTCAGTCTACTGCTTTTACCTGAGCTTGTTTTCTGTTTGTTTTTGCAAGCGCAGCAACAAATATCCTCACATAAAGGTACACTGTGAGGAGTAACAAGGACTAATGATTAAGGCAACTCCCCCTTGTGCCAAACTGCATGTTTATGGCCTGGCTGAGTGCTGCAGGAGGCCAGTAAACAAGCAGGAATGACTTCATCTCAGAGCTCTCCAAAATGCGAACAGATCAGAGTTATAACAAAAGATGTTCAGATGATTTATAGGCCTCATAGGATTTATATATCTTTGGGAATAAACTAGGCTAGCTGAAATGATGTTGACACATCACAGTTGAGTCTCTCCTCATGTGTGAAATATAAATCTTACAAGCTTCATATTGATAATGGGTTCACCTCACCTGAATCACTTATTCATGCAACTTCTATTTGAAGTTCTCAATCTTCTCTCTCTTCTTTTGAAAACACTTTTGCTGTTACAGAACCTGATTGGGGTGAGAGGGCAGTGGCTTCCTGTAGCAGTGAGCACCAGAGTTTAATTAGAGTAAAAGTCATTCATCAGACAAGTTAAACAGATCCAAATGATTGACTAATTTCTGAGTGTTTTGTGCCCAGTTTTTGCAGTCATGCGTGCGTAAAGCCAAAAACTGGATCAGCAGAGGGCTCCCTGCTGATGAGAGCAGAGAGCAGATTGTTGGCGAACTTCCCAAATGTAGAAAAGAAATGTCCCACAGTTATATCCTCTCTCCTTCTTCTTTTATGTTTAACTTGAATTGATATTTAACCCTCTCGCTGAAATTGCTGGGCTATGGGCATGGGCCAGGTGAAAATACTCCTCTCCAAGTAAAAGTCCTGCATCAAATCCTCACTTAAGTATGTAAGCATTATTTGCAAAATGTACCATGGGTATGAAAAGTAAATGTATAGTGCAGTACAATGTTCCCTGTCAGTGTTTTACTGTCATATCTGATTTTTCTGGGTTAATATTACTGCTGCATTAATGTGTATGTTGCATTTCAACTCCTTTGTATCCTGTTGGGTAGTTTAATCATACATCAAAGCATCATATTCTTGAAGAACATCATGTTTGTAGTGTCTCTGTGTCCTGTGAGAACCTCGTATCTCTACAAAGAACAACCTGTTTTCAGCTCTGTGACGATGCATTTTCCAGCTGATCCAAGAGGCTTTTTAAAGAGTTTATTAACCTGAAGAAGAAGGAGGGTTTTCACAACACTTGAAGGAAACACGTCATCCTTCAGTTCATCACAAACATTCAACATCAACACATCTGGAGATGGACAGGAAGGGGATGAAAAATGAAACTGTAAAGGAACTAAAGCTGTCAGACAAATGTAGTCAAAAGTCAAAAGTATTTACTTTGCGATGTCTCTCTCTCTCTCTTTCTCTCTCTCTCTCTCTCTCTCTCTCTCTCTCTCTCTCTCCATTTGACAGAACAAGCAGCTGGAGTTTACCACCGGGAATCACGCAAAGGGAGATACCAGCTGACGTATAAAGAGGCCAGGGCCGTCTGCAAATACGAGGGAGGGAAGCTGGCCACTTATGACCAACTGGAGGCGGCTCGTCAAATAGGTCCGCGACATGCAGAGCCTCCTGCTGGAGCACATTTACCATCGGGGCCATGATTCATCACACAGATTCTTTCCTCATTGCAGGGTTGTGTTTACCTTTCGCCCATGAAGCACATTAAACATCACGTCTGATGTGGCGCTGGTGATGCATCTCTTGACCAGCTGGAATGCTTTTTACATGCAGAAATAAAGGAGGTGCACATGTTCACGGGGGTAAAAGGTCGTTGGGAAGCATATGAGAGTGAAACACTTCTTTCCACGAGTGCTTTGCTGCTTCATGAGTCCGTGCCAAGTTTCACGCGGCCCCACTAGTATTGTAGGAGCCTGTTAACACCTTCTTGGATGGGTAACGTCGCCGCTTCTCTTGGCACAGAGATTGAACGCAGCCACTCGAGCCGCCTCCCTGTAACAGCTGAGGTTCCCCACAGCGGCCCACCTGGGAGGTCCCTCTTTTATCTGGGCTGATCTGGTTTTGGGGTCTGCTGATTGTAACTCTGAGCTAAACTCTAAAAACAACAACTAAATAAACAGCACTGGCCATCAGGGAAGCTCTTATCCAGGTTTGGGCTTTTGAAGGCTGGCAGAGTTGAAAGAACTTTCTGTGGTTGGCCGGCAGAATAAAGTAGTTTATTATCAGTGACTTGAGAGGTGGCAGAAAGCCCTTATTTTTCCGCTCTTGTTCAGGTTTCCACGTGTGTGCTGCTGGATGGTTCGACAAAGGACACGTTGGCTACCCCATCGTCAAACCTGGACCCAGCTGTGGCTTTGGGAAGGTTGGCATCGTCGACTACGGACACAGGCGGAACAAAAGCGAGAGATGGGATGTGTACTGCTACAACCCAGACTGTGAGTACTTGTTTTATACAAAGCAGTGAATGCTGGCTTGAGCACATCTACTGAGGTGCTGTACTTAACTCACTTTATATGGATTAATATGGACATAGTGACAAACCCACAGAGAATCATCACCCGACTGTGAAGCTCTACAGAGAGTTCATCTGAATGTTTTGGTCTTCTGAGCCACAAATGTACTGTTTTGGTTCCCTCCCATCAACCAAACAGCAGACAGGCACAGTTAGCGACTAGCTGGTTAAGCTCACGTTCATCATATCGACTTTATAAAGTGAAAATATGTCAATCTTGTCTTGACAGCTGTTTTTTGCTGCCATCAAGTGGCCAAAAAGAAACTTTCTATTATAGATTTTTAGGTACTTTTGTACTTTACCTGCTTTTTACTTCTCCTCCACCACATTCAAAGACTGTGTTGATTGAGATTTTGCATGCTTAAACGTACAGTTCAAGTATGAAGATGTTTTACCTGGGACCACATTTTGTCTACGAGAGGGGACAGAAGAACTAAAAAATAAAAGCCGACACCGCCCTGATAGCACCTTCTTACAAACTTATTTAGAATATTATGTCATTAAGTTCGTCAAAACCTTTTTTGCTGGAAAGGGTGTTAATGAGCTTAATTAATTTGCAGGCCATAAAACCAAAACAATGAGCTAAAAGAACACAAAATATTCTTTAAGATGTGGAGTTGATCCTCCACCAAGGACATTATCTTTTTGGTTGGGTTTGTTCGTCTGTTTGTCAGCAGGATTACGGAAAAATCGACTGACCCGATTTTCATGGAACCTGGTGGAAGGGTTTAGCATGGGCCAAGGAATAACTCATAACAGTTTAGAGTGGATATGAATCACGGGGCGGAAACACCTTGCCGGAGGTCTGCGCTCTCTAAGTTCCCTTGTGGTTCTCTTCGGTTTCATGAGCGGCCGCTCACATTAAACTGAGTCATTCAATATAAAAACTACTGATTCATGCAGCATGTTTTATTGCTGATATGTATATGAATGTTTACCAACATGTTAAGCACAATTTCACTGATGCTGGTACTCTTTAAAGTAGAATATCTGGTTTGAAAAGTAAGTGATGACTGCATGGCTGTGGTCCATTCCCAGTGGGGGAGACCTCAGGTTAATAATAGTCATCAAGTCTGAGGCTCCACAGACTCACTCAGGATGTTTCAAGTCAAACGTGAGGGATTAACCACAGCAGTAGGACGGAGGTCTTGACTCAAAGCCACAATCTCACACTGTGAGTTATCATGATGGGACCAAGAATAAACCAGGAGGACGTAAAGAACTTCAGTGTTGGAGAAGATGTCAGTGGATGTGATAACTGACACACAGGCTGCACCGTGAGGGAGTGGATTTACAAACAACCACGGCTCAATGATTCAGCGTTTTTACAATCTGCCTGATTCATTTCTGAGCCAAATCATTTTTTATATGCCTTGTGTCCTGAGTTTATCTGAAAATAATTTAAAATCAATATTTAGAAATAAACACCCAAGTGAAAATCAGCCAATTGTTAATATAGAACAACTGAATATAGCAGCTTTAAACTTAAAGAGTCAATGTATTGTATGTACTGAGCAGGACAGTTAACGTAAGAAAAATAAACTTGTAGGTGCTCTCTGGTGGACAAACTATGTTATTGCAACACTTATTTCTAATAATTTATGGGTTGACATCAGGTGAAAACATCCTGTTCTGAAAAGTGAAGCCAATGCTGAAGTAGCTTTAACCTGCATTCTTTCTAATGGCCATCAGGGGGCGACTCCTGTGGTTGCAAAAAGAAGTCTGATTGAAATCTATGAGAAAATGACCCTCAGTAAACATTGTAAACATGAGTTTATGGTCTCAATCTCCAGTTTCAAGTCTTCTTCAATACAGCATGATGTTCATTCAGTAAATGATGGTCCATTTAGAGTCAAACAGACCATAAAGCAACATTCACCACATGCTTTCAGTTCATGAAAGTGAATTGTAACATTTTGGTCGCCTAAAAACACCGTATTCAGTGTTCTGTTGTTCTCAGCTCCACCCTCTTGTGTCACATCTGGTTGCAAAAAAAACAAGATGGCGAGAGAAAAATGGCGAACTGGAGGCTTCAAAAGGACCACAAGCCAACCGGTGACGGATGTACAAGCTTACTTTGTCACAGATGAGAAACAATGTTAAACAACATTTCTTCTCCCTGCTGGACGTCTAGTGGAAAAGAGTTTAATACCATTGTCACCAGTCTCCACATGTGTTTCATTTCCTTCATTCAACAAAAAGCTTTTTTTCTTCCTATTCTGCATTCATTCAGCGCTCACACGCAAGAGACAGACCCCCCCCCCCCAAACACAATGCTTCACATGAACAGATGCTCAATCCCACCAGCTGATTGAAGGGGACACACTGGGGAGTTTAAAGTGGTCCTCTAGCTTGAGAACACAGACTCCACATTTATCCACATGTCAGCTGGTCCAGAGCTGCCTTTTAGCTCAAATTTAGCAAAATAAAAATACGTCACTGGTTTGCCTCTACTTACCCTTTTTAACATTTCAGATGTAATATCTTCAACACAGCTAGCGAGGGATTACTGGGGACATGTGATACCACTTGACTCGGAATAATTCACACTTCATTGGGAAACATCGCCTTCATACCAGGCATTCAGATGTATTCTATGCTTTGTTCTCTATTATTGCTACAGACATTAATATACCGGTAAAGCTGCTGCATGATAACTCGTGCACCATTATTCAAGTCATCTTCGAATCCAAAAGTTGAATAATTACACACAATTCTCTCTTTAAATTCTCTCTCGCTCATCGGCCTTCTAGCAGTCGGCAGGTGTTTTAGCTGCGATACAGAATTGACGAAGTAGTCATTGGTGTGTGGGGGAGTTGCTTTCTTTATTTGTGGCTCATACAGTACCTTTGTAACATTCCTTTGAATTTAGGAGTCATCTTTGAAGTGGTGTTGTGGTTTACTTGACACACTGATACATAGAAAAAGAAAACTCTGCTTCTTAGGTACAACTTAAAATTCTTATTTGTGTAAGCATGATACAGATGTGAAAATATGAAGGCCATCGATTTCTCTTAAACCTTTCACGCCACGCTCCTGACGGGTCGGGATGTTTTCTGATTGATCAGCGATCAAAACACTCGAGTCAACGAGAAGCTCTCGCCAACCTGCACATCACCTTTGCGAGCCTGTTTTCTAGCACGGTGGTGCCAGGCGCCCCTTTACACGGAGACTCTCTCTGAAGTTCCTTCACTAACGAGCTATACACGGACGCTCTGGTATGCACAGGTCAAGATGATATTCTACATCTCTTCCTATGTTTAGACTCCGATCATCTGTGCTTCATATTGTCTATGACTAAAATAAACACCACAATAATTTCCTTCAACAGAAGAGGCAGTAGCAGCTGCTAGAAGCAGTTCACTTTCTGTTTTTCCACATGCTGTTCACTCGTTCATCTCGTCCATGTCTTACAGCCAAAGAGTGTGGTGGGGTGCTGACAGACCAGCAGAGGATCATTCAGTCCGCTGGCTTCCCCGAGGAGTACGAGGATGAACAGATCTGCTACTGGCACATCCGTGTTCGCCTGGGCCAGAGGATCCACCTCCACTTCCTGGAGTTTGATGTGGAGGAGGACATGGGGTGTCTGTCAGATTACCTGGAGGTGTTCGACAGCTACGACGACGTCTCCGGCTTCGCTGGGAGGTGAGGGGTCTTTGAGGGGGGGGGGGGGGGGGAAGTAGGAAGTATCTGAACTTATAGCTCCCAAAACTTTAGAAAATTGAAACAGGATCTTCACAGGGCCAATATGAGGAAGGCCAAGGTATACACATGGGTATAACATTGATTTAAGAGGCCGCAAGGCACTGAAGTTGGCTACCTTTTGGTTGAAAAAACCCTGGCATGACCATATTCACAGCGGTTCCCTGACCTCTCACCTCAAGATATGTGGAAAAAAAAGGGTTTTATGGATACGAGCCCCCCCTTCACACATTAGGTATTACTGGAAAGATGGGACTCTTGTGGATCCATTGAGCCCAGTCATGTTTGATGATGCTAGTCCCCACAGTAGCCATTTTAAACTTGATTTATAAAATCACATGTTGTGACCTCTAGGTTTAATCACAGCCTCGTGAAACTTCACAACCACAAACAAGAGGCCGAGGTAATTCAGAGGATGTATGGCTTTCTCAGGTATAGTGACAATAAGGGGCTTTCCAGATCAGAAGTGCTCGCCATCCAATCGGCGAAAAATGTCCAAATGTCAAAAGTTTTTGATACCAAATCACAGCATGGACTTTTTTATGGTGTTCCTCAAGGTCGTGGTGTCTTAATGTGGTATATAATTGGGATTTATGGGCAAATTTGGGCATGGTTATGGCCACCATATGCTACTACCATAATCTTCTAATTTATGATTTATGACAAGAACAACTTGACACACAATGCTGAGCTGCATCTCAGATTAATCTTCAGTTTCCCAACTTTCAGATGATGTATTCCACTTCAGTGGCCTCTACTGCTGATTTGCTATTTCCCTCTAAAGATCCCCTGTTCCCCCTTAAAAGACTCAAAAAGCATCATAAGTTTACAGCATAATATGCAAACATTGTACACGATTCAACAGACCCATGAAAACATGTGAGCCACGTCACAATATTTAAACTAATATTAAAATGTTCCGGCTATGACAAGTCAAAATGTCTGCCGTAAATACATGAATTACAGTAATAACACTCAGTGGAGGTCCAACTCCCATTATTTAAAAAAAATTGCGTTAAAGGAATTATTTTTGTTATTGGAAATATTGTTTTTTTTTCAATTTATGAAGTTATAAAATGTCAGTAAAATGTGAAAATACTCGTTAAATGAGTTATATTAAAACAGAGAAAACCAGCAAATGAAATCACATTTGAGAAGTTTTTGTTCATTTAATCTCTGACACGATGAACTGATTATTGTTCACAGATTCTGCGGCGATTATTTACCTGACGACATCATCAGCACAGGTGACGTGTCGTCCTCTCGTCGTACGCTGCACCGTTGCACTCTGACGGATCTCTTGATCATTTGTCTCCCGTGTTTTCTGTTTTCACAGGAAACGTGATGACGCTGAAGTTCCTCTCTGACGCCTCGGTGACGGCCGGCGGCTTCCAGCTACAGTACATTGCCTTTAATGCGTCTCTGGTTTCACAGAATCACACCCATTACTTCCACTGACCGATGCTTTAACACACTGATGTCATCCTGTGGCTGTACTCGTGATGTCGTTGGTTGCATCGTGTACTGTAATTAATATGTCTTTATAGCTGATTAAAGAAATAATTCTGTCATTGAGTTGTGTTGAAGTTTCTGATCTTACGTTCCAGATTAAACAAACAATCCGAACTTTGTGTTCACCTCATCCTGAGGTTTACTTTGTGGAAAACAAACCTGTTTTCTGGTTATTACAACTATATTTTCATTGACTTTCACACTGCAAAGCGTTTTCACAGCCAACCATTGTTTCTGAATATTTGGGTTAACTATTAATGTTGCTTCTTGGTTTTTATTACTCTCCATGCACATAACTTATTCATAAACACCTACTGGGTTTATAATGTTGTAGAGCTATATACATGCAGTCCATTTACCAACCCTAAAAGTTTGAGTCTCCAAAAGATGAATGATACACATTTAAAAATAAACACAATAACACTCATTCATTGCTATTTAAACACTGCTATGAATAATTACAATGTTAGCTCTCTGGTGATAAATCATAGAGTGTATAAAACATGGACAAAGTCTCCCGAAGGTTTGTAAAGAGTCGTAAAATTTAAATTAAGATGTAATATTATAGATTAAAAAAAAACGTTTATTGATCCCTGGGGGGAAATTCACAAATACAGCAATAAATAAAGTAATTAAACCGAGCTCCACCTTTACCAGCTGCAACGTTAAAGCAATGAACACATTAATGCATCAATAATTACAATGTACAGGCCATCTTTTACTGAAGTACAAGATGTGAGTACTGTGCTTTCTATCCTTCTATTTTATCTACTCATTTTTCATTCATATTCATTCATCTTCTTGTGTTTTTGTGTTGTGTTTCATGCCTTCTGTAAAGCACCTTGTTGTTGTCGTTATTATTATTATTAGTATCAATCACAACACTGTCAGCTTGCTCTTCTCCATATAAGGAGTCAAATGGGCGGAACCGGATGTGATGTGTGCGGGGTCAAAGGTAACTTTGTACGTCGGCGTGGTGGTTTGGCGCCAGCAAATTTCGCGGGGCAACAAGAGCACAAGAGAAGAAGAAGGAGGCTAAAATATCGAACATAAGAACAAGTGGAGCACGTAGTTACAAACGGCAGACAGTGAACCGGACGGCCGCTGGAGTTACCGGGTGTCCCTCACTGGGTTCGATGGTGTGTCTGTGTCGTTTCTTCTGCTGCTTGCGTGTCGTCCTGAACTCCGAGGTGAGCAGTGTTTGTTGTGTGGAAAGTGTAAATATTTGTCCGTTATCTTTTCATCTACTCGTCTGTTGGTGAGGCTGACACACACGGGAGGTGAGGCGGTGTCACCCCGGCGTTGGTCCTCTTGTTTCCCGCATTAAACTAGCAGCCCACTCGGAACACGCAGCTAAAGCTAGTGGACGTTAGCAGGCTGCAGGCTAGTGCTGAATACTGAAGGCTCACGTTAGTCCCTGTGTCCGTTACATCCATGAAATGAAGATGTGGTGTGTATGCATTGACTGTGATGATGTTATATACAGCAGGACACACTTTGTCAGACTTGTTTTGGTTCCTCTGGGTGTCCGAGAGGAAGTCTGGCCTCTGGTAGCATCCTCTAAACACACCTTTGTCCACTCTTAAACCTCCTCTTGTCTTCTTTTGATCTGCTGTTCACAGCTCTGGATACAGTGGAGGGTGATCACAGGTCTACATACATCTCACTGAGGTAAGTCCATGTGTTTCTGCTTATTCACAGTCATGATGTCATCTCTGTGAGGTAGCCATGGTGCACAAAGCTGATGCAAAAAACACTTTTTAAAGTCACCAAATACACTTGATTATTTACAAATATATCAGTGTTTTACACCACAGAGCACAGTGTTATTTACATAATACCCTTTTGTTTTAACACAGGTTACAAAGTGCTTTACAGTAACTGTAGTCAAGCCTAAATCAAAGCACACAGTGCATACAATAATACAAAATACATACGAATGCACTTAAGATTGAAGGTTGTGCCAAAGTCTGGGTGCTCTGACAGCTTCAGGGTCGTCATATTTCTAAGTTCTCCTTTTTAAAGCGACTTGTTACAAGCGCGTCCAGTTATGTCTTTGCCGCCTGCTTTCACTCCGTCCTCTCCGTGCGTCTCTTTCTTTAGAGGCCTTGCGGAGGCGAGTAATAATGATGGCGACGGCGGAGCCTCCGAGCGGCTCCAGCTTCCTTCCTCTGCTGGAGTCTCTGGAGGACGGCGCCGCTGGACAGTCGGAGCAGACGGACGCCTACCTCACCATCGCCAAGTACGTTGCTCGTGCTTCGGCCATCTTCTGGATATGTGAGAGGACGTTTTGTCTCATTCACAACTGGAATATGAGAATGAAAATAATCAGTTTTTTCCTCTCCAGTCGGCTCAGCGGAGAGGAAGGCCGGCAGTTTCTTCCTGCAGTTGAAAAGCACTTTCCTCGTTTGGGTAAAGCCATCTTGGTGAGTCTTTCTGGACATCATTTATTCACATGAAGCTCGAGGAACTTCCTAAATCTTCCATATTTTATTTATGATGCATAACTCTGCTCTTGTCTCCAGGCTCACATAACCAGTCCGACCGCAGAGCTGAGCCAAGCTGCCCTGCAAGCTTTAGGGTTTTGTTTGTACCATTCTCACATTGTCTCAGGAGTGCCTGGTACATGACTTTACATATTTTAAACATTCATATTTATTCACATGTGACTACGTTCTATGGGGAGTATAATCGCTGCAGAGGGTGATTCTCTTTTATCTTGTTTTGCAGAAACCTTTGCAGCAGAAATACTATCAGCACTTTGCTCCCTGGCAGTGAAGTCGACCGATAAGAACACGTGCACCAGAGCATTGTGGGTCGTCTCCAAGCAGAGCTTTCCTCCAAATGTGGTCGGACAAAAGGTGAACGTCAGCAGAGGCTTAAATCCAGTGAATTGGGACTGAGAACCAGGAAGTGACGGTGCTGCTGTACTCATCCATGTTGCTTCACTTATCAGGTGTCATCTATACTGGGAACACTGGAGAGTGTGTGGAGCAGAGAGGACATCCAGTCCGTGGTGATGGAGCACGAGGCCTTAAACGTTATCATCAGGTAAAGGAACAAGAGATGATGCTTTATAGGATGGAGGTGTTTATATTAGCAATAAGTCAGATTCTCCTTAGATGATGCTTGCATGTCTCCATTGTTATTGGAGGGTGACTAAGCTGATTGTAAGAGTTGGCTCTAACTGGTCCCGGTGTTTTTAAAGGATGCTGGAGCAAGCGCCGGCCCAGATGGGCGACGGAGTGCTGAGGTGGGCGACGCTCGTCATCCCGCTGGTGGTCCACTCTGCCTCCAAGGTGCGTCTCCGGGCCGCGGCGGCCATGGAGATGGGCATGCCTCTCCTCCTGGAGAGACAGATGGAGGTGGCCGGCATCATCGAGCCGATGATGTCCTCGGTGAGTATCGCTGCTCGTACCGTGTTGGTGGTAACGTACCAAACGTGAGAGATATTCGTCTGGAGATATTCAGCAGATTGTTGCTATTCATGGGGGAATACAGATTTTCGAGATAAGCATAATTCACTTACTGCCCGACTTCCTCGTGTTGAACATCAAGAGGAAAGGGAATTTAAAAGTAACTTTGATGTCTTTACAGAAACTGATCCCAGAGCTCCAGAAGCTTTTCATCTCCAAGAATGAAGCCAATGTCCTGAAGCTCTGGCCTTTGTTTGTGAAACTGCTGGGGAAGGTAAAGTGTGTGCATGTCTGCATGTTGTGTATTTCTTTCTACAAATCCATGAAGGACTGTGCATTCATAGTGAGGCACATTCGAGGATCAGAACCATTTTTAGCTTTGATTCCTGGTTGACCTGGTAGAGCGGGTAACCGATGTACCAAGGTTCAAATCCGACCTGAGGCGCTTCGCTGCACGTCGTCCCCCCTCTCTCCTCTCCCCAGCCTGTCTCCTCTGTCTAATAAACGCAAAATGACCCAAAAGATAATCTTCATAAACTAACTGAAAGTTCTGACAGTTCTCGGATGTCTTTCTGCAAAGGATATACTGTAGTTATTATCTGGCTACGTCAGACGTATTGAAATGTGTTTCCTACTCAGTTGCTGCACAGAGGAGGTCCCTTCATCAACAGTCTGCTGCATCTGGAGGAACTCGGCTTCCGCAGCTCCTCCCCCACCATCAAGAAGATCGCCTTCATTGCCTGGAAGAGCCTCATAGACAACTTCGCCCTCAATCCAGGTGAGCCACACACTCTCTGGTCCCACTTTTTTTAATTTCGCTTCAGACTAATCCTGTTCTTTAAGCTCTTAAGTCTCTCCATGGCTGAGTTTCTTTTTTTACTTTCTTGCATCCTGAAGACATCCTGTGCAGCGCCAAACGTGTGAAGCTCCTGATGCAGCCGCTCGCGTCCATCAATGTCAGGACGGAGGTCCTGCTGCTCACCAAGGTGGAGGTCTGGTGGTACCTGGTGGTCCAGCTCGGGCCCAACCTGTTGTCCAACTTTGATCAGGTTAGTCTGTCTCTCTCTCTGTCTGTGTCTCTCTCTCTCTCTCTCTCTCTCTCTCTGTCTGTCTCGGAGCATCAAACACTATTTCCTGCATCTGCTGAATTTTTATGAACCAAATTATTGTGAGAATGTAATTTATTTATGTAAAGGAAAACAAAGTACTGGTGGTATGATAATCTGATAGTGTGAGGGGACAGGATGTCGTACAGATTGTAAAGCCCTCTGAGGCACATTTGTGACTTGTGATTTTGTGCTATTCAGATAAGCTGTAAGGCTTTCAGGCATTCTGTATCTATTTTTAAGTATCTGTCCTCCTGTTGAACTTGTGATTTGTCGTTCTGCAGGTTTCTGTTCCTCTGCTCCAGTGCGCCATTGGATCCGACTCCTCTTCGGTCCCAGGAACCCCTTCTAGAGCCGTCGGTCAAAACGCCGCCGTCGCGCCGGGCACCCCCAAGTCCGGTATGTTCACACGGGAACCTCAATCCCACACAGTATGTGGTGCTACACTGTCTTACACACACACACACACACACACACACACACACACACACACACTGAAGTTACATCAGAGTGAGCGCGGACATTGACGGAGACTGTTATTTGTGTTTTTTATTTATTGTCTCCTCCTACAGCAGGCTTCAGCAGTCCGGCCAATACGTCTCGGATGAGCCTGAACTCCAGCGTGCAGATCCCCACCACCTTCCCCTCCATCCAGCTGCTGGGTCTGGAGATGTTGCTCCACTATTTTCTGGGACCAGATGTTGTACCCACGGCGGCAAAGACGAAACTCAACCTGAGTCTTGGTGAGAGTCCGACAGCCACGCATTAGCTACTCGTACATAATGGCGTTTCTTCATCCGTGTTTTTACCAGAAAACTCCACGGAGCACCTTGTTTTAACGGACTCTCACCGACACACATTTGGCAGAATGCACCGCCCCAAATGTCACAGGCTCGATATATTGAAATATAAAAACCTGCAGTTTAATCACAACCTGCCTCTCTTCTGGTTCCAGAGCCGCTGACCCACCCGCTCCTCTCCGGTGCTTCCTCCTTCACTAAACATGCGGCCGTGCTCACCTCCAACATCAGAGATGGATTCACCAACGTCGGCAAAGACGCTCCAGGTAAACGGTCCATCGTTTAAACGAGCTCGTGTAGTTTCTCTCCACCTGCTCCTGAGTTGAGTTTGTTGTTGTTTTAAGGTTCTTGTGGGAGAATGAAATGCCAGTTAAATATGTCGGACCTCTTCATATTACTGAAAACATGTGAGACTTGGTTATAAAATGATGCAGTGATTGCTGATCATCTGCATGTAAATCTCTTCTCCTTCAGATTCTCTTTTGGCCGTTTTATGGACGAGTCTCGTCCGCTTTGTCAACTTAACGATAGAATCTGGTGAGTTCTTCAACAGTCAAACACTATGTATTCTTGTCTCCAGTGCAGTAGCTAAACATGCACAATTATATCATGTTACATCTTTAGAAGCAATTAAAGAAATCGTACTGTAATGTTTGACAAGAAGCCTGTGATGCCACACGTACCTTTTTTACATTTACGGAGCTTTTATTTGTGTTTCTCATGGTTTTATTACCACAACATAAGACAAACTTTCATAACTTCCAAATTCCAGCTTTGAAATAAAGGACGTATAGTAAAACTGGACGTCATATGTGACGTTATTGTCTCAATAGAAACCTTTCTTCTGTCATTGTGGCGGCTGCTCAGCAGTGCGGAGATCTTTAAAGTCGTGGTTCCCGCCTCGCAGCTCCACATAGAGCACTCTTGATTGGGTCTGGGCTCCGTCATTAGGGATGAGGAACCGGTGAGACCTCGTCCTCATCTCCTGCCCGGCCCACTCCCACTGTCGCATCAGTTTAAGTCAGAGCGGTCAGACCCTCGTGGTCTGGACTGCCGTGAAGAGGAAGAAACTACTGAGGGGTTCGTCCCCAATGATGACTTATATTTTAAAACAAGGAATCATGTTTTAGTCTTTGTGTGTGTTGCTGATGGGTCTGTCCTCTGGGTGTCAGCAGGCAGTAAGAAGGATCGTCAGGGAGGTGAAGTGCTGACGCTGATGCTTCAGGCTCTGCAGGCCATCGTCGCCTCAGAAGCTCTGCCTGCAGACAAAGTTCTGGTAAGACCGAGATCCAAACGCTTCAGGTCTGAACTCTCAGCTTCCGTGTCCCTCTCTCACTGGAGGGCTGTCTAGAGTTACTTTATTGATTTTCTGTTTCAGCGAATCTCAGCTTGCTTGTCCGGCTGCTTTTAACCGACTTTTATTTGAATATCTTTGAATTTGATTGTTCCAAATTGTCTAAAATCCAAACATCTGTTGAATCTTCTCCCTCAGATTCTGTTTGAAGGCACAGTGAAAGGTCTTCCGCAGAGAGTTCTCGGCTCCGCCTCCTATCAAGTGGGCAAGATGGATGTTCTGAATGTGAGTGCTTCTCTCTTCTATGTTGAGCACGTGTTCATAGTCCGTATTTAAGGAAGAGCTTATGAGAAAGAGGATCGGTTAACATCTTGTGTTTGTTCCTCAGGGAACGCCGGCTCTGTTCCTCATTCTGCTCCTCTACAACAGCAGCTTGCTCTCTGCCTACATCGAGGACGAGAGGTGGGTCTGATGTTCATCCTTCATTCATTCATGTCTGTTTAATCTGTGCTCACAGCTGCAGTTTGATATATTTAGACAAAAGAGATCCATGGTTCTATTTTATATTGTATTCAACACAAGTTGTTTCTAGCAGTTAATCTAACTTTTGGATGTCTTGCTAATGTTTTATTTACAAATATTTCAGTATTAAATATGTTTTTTTTTTTTTTTTTTGTTTTTTTTTACTTGATGACTAAATTGCAAGACTGAAACCTGGTTGATGTCATATTTAAGTGTAGTTGTCACAATTATCAAAGCTAAGTGGGCCAGAACTTTAGAATTTCATAATTGTTTTTAGGAATAAGTAATTGAGTGATCTCTCGCTCGCTCTCTCTCTCTCGCTTGCTCCATCTCGCTCCATACCACTCTATCCCTCTCTCGCTCGCTCGTTCTCTCGCTATCTCTCTCACAGTACTAATGCATTATACATTTTAGTTTCAGTGCAAATGTAAATCACAGGATGTGCTTTTTCCAATAAAAATATAAAATTAAACATTTTGTTGAGTTATATTGTTTTAAAAGAAAAATCATTAGAAAAAAGAACAAACTTAATACACCTTTTTAAGCTCTAATCATATATTTTATATATATTTTTGCTTTGGAGTTATGCCTCTTCATATTCCTATATACATCTCATAAAGTGTTGCTCGATGTCTCTCCGTCTGCAGGTTCTTTCAGTGCCTCCAGACGCTGGTGGGCTGCGGTCTGTTGGGCCCCACGTCCCCGCTGGCGTTTGGGGAGGCGGTGCTCGGCGCCATCAGACGCAGCGCCGGGTCCGTGCAGAACAAGGAGCAGCTGTGGAGGATGTGGAGCGTGATGGTCAGCCCGCTCACCGACACCATCACACAGGTGGGAGGAGGAACGGAGGGAACGGGGGATCGATGTTTTAAAACGTATATATTCTTCTGCCTTAATTTAGGTAAATATAAGTACTATTGCAGAGCGTTGGAGAAGCTCTTTACTGTGATGCGTTTCCTCTGATGGTGTCGTGAGCTTGCCAGCAGAGCACTAAAGGAACATTCTCAATCTTTTCTTTCTTTTTACAGTCGAATGAAGTCAACCAAGGTGACGCTCTGGAGCACAACTTCAGCGCCATGAACTCTGCCTTGTTGTTCCCCATCACACACCTACTACATGGCACGCCGCTGCAGCAGGTCTCTTTACCTACATGACTGTCATACTTCTTAACCACAGTTTGTCCTTTTTAAAAAAGGCCACGCGGCACCGATCCAGAGATCCTGTTTTCACTTTATTTCGTGTTTTTTGTTCAGGCGGCCCAGAAGCCGATGCTGTCCTCGTGGTCCAAACTGTACAAAGTGTTCGCCCGCTGCTCTGCGCTGGTGGTCACAGCAGAGGAGAACATCTGCTGCGAGGAGCTCTGTGCCAAGATGACAGCTGCGATAGACAGAGATGCTTTAGTGGTGAGTGGAGGAGAGGAAAAAACTCAAAAAAGACAAAATTAATAACAAAAAAAATTGTATTCATCAGAACACGAACTGGTGAACTTATTCCTTTAATTTGTTTTAAAAACCAGCCTGCTTTAATGTGTTGATGCTATCTGATCCTCCAGGTTCCTTCTGCATTAAATGCCGTTGCCAGTCTCCTCCAGGTCATGGTCGAGTGTGTGGACTTCTCGCCGTTCACTCCTCAGTTTCAGCAAAAGCTGAAGTGTAAGAGAACTTAAGCTCACTTTATTTCACACTTGGATTAAATTGAGAATATAATTTTTATTCACTCTTGTTTCTTGCAGCGCCTCACACTCCGGTAAACTGGACGAGAAAGAGGAACAAGGTCCTGGGGAATCTGTCCACCTTCCAGTCCCTGCTGGTACAGTGTCTAGAGGTCTATCTGGAGGGCCCCGGGGCCTCCTCTGAAGCCACAGGACTGGCCCTGGTCTCCATACTGTCGGCTCTCTTCACCAACCTCGCTCTCGCCAACACGATCAAGGAAGCTCTGACTTCTCTGATTCAACCCGTCACCCTCTTCTACAAACAAGCAGCCAGTGAGCCGCCTAAGTTCTCCTCACAGCTTCTGAGAAAGGTGCGTTCTTTGTCAGGCGGCTGCACAAGTCTTTTTGCTTTTCTAAGCATTTTTAGTAATGACTATCTGCTTTTCTTTCAGCTGGAGAAGCTTCTCTGCGACGTTCTCGGCTGCCTGCAGACCCGCTCTACCTTAGCGTACGACGATGAGCTCCTGGCTCTGCTCTCTCCTCTGCTTTGCGTGTCGTTTCCTCACAAGAACAAGCAGCTGCGCTCCTCAGTCGCCCAGTTCTGGAACGCCACCTTCGGCAACTCGGTCGGCCTCACATACCCCGATGAGATCAGGTAAAAAAACGAAAAAACATCCTCGGGTCTCATTTAATGCTGCGTTCACATTTTTGACCCCAGCAAAAGGCCAAATGTACGTTTATTCATTTTGACGGAGACGAGTGCATCACAGTGGTAGAGAGGGATGCGCCCCCGAAACCGGGTTCTAAATATCTGAAAACCCGGAGTATTTGGGTAAAATGAAGAAGTGACTTTTGTTGTCAGATTTTTCTGCATGTGTTTAGGGATTTATGTCTATAAAACCATGATGACGTACTGCTACAACAGAAATGTAACAATAGAAAAGTTCTTGTTTCATGACAGGCCAAATGAATTTAGGTGGGCTTAAAGCGAACTTAAATGTTGCCATTTTTCTTTACACAGACCGATATTGAGCCAAGTGAAGCAGAAGACCCCGATCATTCTTCCTGGCTTTGAGGCCATCTGTGTTCCTGATGAGCTCAGTGGACCTTACTCTGTGAGTTGTGACTTTAGTAATATTCTCTACATTGTTGTTGTTATTTGTGGCTGAACTCGTTTGTGTCTTTTTAGAGTGAGAGCTCCCAGCTGGAAACAAATCTCAGTGGGATGCCGGTTTCATCCGTGCTGAAAAGGTCTGCTGAGCTGAAGGACGGCAGCTCCACCAAGGCCTCCAAGTCAGTTTCTGTAAGTTCAGACTCGGACCAGACCAGCTTTCACGAGGAACGTCTTGTGTTTTGCAAATCGTTCGGACATAAATTAAGAGGCAAACATATTTTACACACTATAGAGCTTAATGTGAGAGGTTTAGATTCATGGATAGGTCAAAGTTTACTACCTGTATCTACAGAGTCGCCTGTTTGTGTTGGCACATTGTGTCATCAAGAAGGGAGACCATGATTTTCTTTTCCAGCTGTTTTATCACTGGCAACGTGTAGGGCTGCAAAAGATGTTTATTAAGGCCTGAGCACAGACGAGCAGTGAGGACACTGTTGAAATGCAATAAATTATTTATGCAAATGAATCACCCTTCCTCTTTCATTAGTGTGGTGCGAGGGTCCGAGACTTTATGTAATGTTAAAATAAGATGGGAAATCTGCCATTTTGCAATAAGAGAAAGCATTTTGTTGCGATGCCACTGTATCATCCATTCAGACATGTTTGGTTTTGAATTGCTCATCGTCCCACCTTCAACAGACAAAGCTGGACTTTGGCTCTCCTAAGCCTCCTCCCAGAGGAGTTTTGGAGGAAGAGGCCTCCATCGACTTTGTCTTCATCCCTCCTGAGACAAAGGAGCGAGTTCTGACGGAGCACCAGAAGGAGGTGAAAAGGACTAAAAGGTCAGATTTGTCCTCTTGTCTGATAGTTCATCAGTGTCGTTTATTAAATATAATATAAATTCAAAGTGTCCATGTTGTCAGTCTGGTGTAGAGCTAATGTTTGCTTTGGCACACAGGGTTGACATCCCTGCCATGTACAACAACCTCGATGCCTCTCTGGATACATCGGTTTTCACCCAGTACACACAGAGTCAAGACGACTCTTTGTAAGTCCTGAGCTCGTGCTACCAGAATCCAGATCAATTCCTGCGCTCTCGTACCAGCACAGCATTTGTATAATGAAACATTTTTCCAACAGGGACAAACTGGCAACTGAACAAGCTGACAAGGAAACCAAAGAGGCTCCTGGCAAGGTAACGCACAAACCCATCAAGGTCAAAAAAATAAAAAACACTGCCAGGAAAGACTCTACTGAGGGCTTGTTTTGTCCTGTTCTTCATTCTGCCAAAGCGAGAATGAATAAAACAAAACACTCCTTGTACATTACTTGCAAACACAGCCCAAGTTTATTTTGGTATTAACTGCAACTGCAGTTTTTTAACCTGGAGTTGTTGCGGTCAATTCATGCTCCTAATGATTTCTGTAGTAACCGTGTTGAACTCTGTCAGTATCAGGATCAGTCTCCACACTCAGAAGGAGTTGGGTGAAGCCTGGCCTTCATTGACTTGGTTAAATTATAAATAAACCTAATTGTAGACTCGCTTTACCCCCATATGAGGCTTATCCAAATGGCAAAATACTTCTTCAAAAAGCAGAAATCAAATGGTGTGTCAATTTTGTGTCCGGGTTGAAATGGCAGCGAGTAAAGCTGGGCTCGAGCGCTTCCTGGGGGGTCTTTAGTTGTCCCAGGCCAGTTGTGTAATCTCTCCAGGATGTTGTGGCTCTGCTCCAGAGTCTCTGCCCCATGAGGCAATCCAGGAGGCAAAGCTCCCAAATGTTCTTACAGCACATGAAATAACAATAAATTATGAACATTATCGTTTGCTTTTTAATTCATTACGCAGTACACAAACATCTTTAAAACCTGTTTCAATGCATTATTTTTGTGGTGTGTTCTTTCACACACAGACGCAGATGAGGTTACTCTTACGAGTAGTGAGACCCAGAATATTCTTGTTTTGTATAAGTCACATGTTTTTGGAGCACTGTAACATTTACATCACGGTTTGATTGGCATTTAAAACTATTCTTTAGTTAAAAACACACCACTACAAATGAAAATGTCACCCAACTTGCATTGTATACTTATTCAGTCTTTAAAAGTGTATGTTTTTGTCCTTTGCAGACAGATTCAGTTTTAAGCATTTGGTTTCTTCCAGGTTCCTCAGGAAGATGAAGTAAAAGGGGAAGACTCAGAAGAGACTCAAGATTTTGCAAGTCCAGAAGCAGTAGAGAACATGCCAGAAAACCACCAGCAGGAGGAGATTATCCCTGAGTCAGCAGATGTTTCTATGGAGGATAATACTAAGAGTGATGATAGAGCAGAAGACTTGGACCTGCATTCTACAGAAGGCACAAGTCCTAACATCTCTGCGTCTTCAGATTTGGTCTCGGGGACACCCCAGAAACCCAACAGTCGCCGTCAGTCCTTCATCACCCTGGAGAATTATGCTGAGGGAAAACCTGCCAGTCCCAGCAGTACGTCCACCTTCACAGGTACCCTCTTAAAGACCTCCAATAGCCAAGAACGCTCTAAAACCAGAAGGAAGTTGTCCTCTCGGGCTTCCCGGACATCCACTGGCCCTAACTCTCAGGATTCCCAGTCTTCCCAGTCAGGAAACATGAACTCACAGTGTCCTGTGAACAATGCCCTTGAGTCTCCTGTAAGGCCAAAAGACTCTGGGAGAAAAAGTGAGCCAGTAAGGCTGACCGAGAGACTACCCAGTGACCCAACAGAGGACGAAGACGTTATCCCGGACACCCAGACTGAAGTGGAGGGCAAAGAGGGTACGGAAATGGCTTCCTCATCAGAGGAAATTACACCCTCAAGCCAGGAAGAGGAATCTGACCCAACTCTGGATGATTCTCAATCTTCTCAAAGTGAACCAAGGCGGTCTGGACGCTACAGAGTAAGACCTCAGCTGCCCGGAGAGGACCCTGAGGACCGGGAAGAGAAATACACCCCCCCGAAAAAGAGGCTTTCTGGAGAGGAACCTAAAAGGGATTCTCCAAAGTCAGAATCGGCGCAAGGCAGACGAAATACGAGAAGTATGCAGGCTGCTGAGAAGGGCAGTGGCAGAAACCGATTACGAACAAGGTCTGAGAGGGGCAAGAGTGAGTCGAGCCAAATCAATTCACAGGGAAAAGCACACAAGAAGATCAAGCTGTACAGTAGTTCAGATGATTTCCTTGATAAACCTGAACCCAAGAGGAGAAGCACCGGTGGGCTTCACTCCAGCCAAACTGACTTGCAATCTGATAACGAAAGCCAGTCACAGGGTAGGGAAAGACGGCGGAGTAAAGCAACATTGGATGGTGAAATGAAGAAAAAGGTTGTGCCTGACAAGGAAGAGTCCAGCCAACCTGCCAAATATGAGCTGGTAGAACAGGCCGAAAAGGATATTAAGCCAAAGAAAGATTGTCAAACGATCACTCCTTCCCCTCAAACTGTTGGCAAATCCCAAGAGTCTCAGCTTTTAGAAAAGATGACCAAGGATGAGAGAGATTCTCAGATAGTTGTTGCTTCTCCAGCTAATGAAGAGTCCCAAGATAGAACAAACACCACAAAAAGGTTGGTGAATATATCGGAGGTCAAAGACAAACTGAAAACAAGTGAAAGCACAGATGACAGCCTTAGTCAAGAGGACTCTCAAGTGATCACACCTTCTTCTGACAGCCAGTCTGTGCGTCGATCCAGAAGAAGCAAGGCATCATCTGAGGAAGCGGGTTCTGAAGATAAAAGTGAAAATAAGGATTCGTTAGAAGGGCAGAGTAGGTCTAATTCTCAGGCAGCTGTCGGTCAGCCAGAGGCTGGAATTGCAGGTAGGACCAGAAGGAGCAAGGTACAAGACGAGCAGTCAAAGTCGAGTCCTACCACAACCCCAGAGAGTTCTCAATCACTAGGGACTGCAGGATCAGCAGAATCATCCAAAGGCTGGGGCAAAAGCTCAAGAAGAAGATCTTCTCCAGCGTTGCCTGTAGCCAGTAAAGGATCCTCAGAGTCTGAATCCTCGGAGGTCAAAGAAAATCCCCCTGTGCCCAAAAAGAGAGGAAGGAAACTGCGAGTGTCTCTTCCAAGTCTTCTCACTATTGAATTTAAAGAAGGTAAAATTAGTAAGGGTATGGTAAAGGATGATTCTGATACTTCTCAAAAGGCAGATTCGCAAAGCACAGAATCTCAAAATACAACAGATTTAGAGAATTCACAGGCATCCCAAGACAAGGATTCTGAATCGCTCCAGGTTCCATGTAACACTGAGGAGCAAAGTAATGAAGAATCACAGATGGAGGTAGAGGTTGATGCTGTTGTAGAGAAAATTGAGACTGACGACACAAAGAACAGCGATTCACTCAGTGTGTCACCTCCCAAAGAGCAAACGCAAAGAGACTCCAACATTGAGAATACCTCGTCACAGGGAGGTGACACTGGAAACTTGCCATCCACTGAGATGCTTGAATCAGTTGGGGTCCTTTCTGAACAGACTCGGGAAGAGTTGCCCTGTGACACATCTGTGTTATCTGTTGAGGCACTGGCGCCTCCTGATGAGACGACAGAGAAACTGCAGGTCTCGGAGTCTTCAGAGGAGAAAGCTGAAGTGTCCGAGTCTGGGGACAATGTTACAGAAGCACAACAAGATGATTCAGATTCAACCCACCAAGAAGATCCAGTTGTTCCAGTGAAAGACGGAGCTGAAGATGATCCCAATGCGTCCTTTGGGCAAAACCACATTGAGAGTCCAACTTTTTCAAAGGAGGAGGAACAGTCTGCCTCCATCAATGAAGATGAATCTACATCCCAGCATGTTGAGGCCAATGCCGGAGACGACATCACGCCACTACAGGAGAGCGATAAAGACGACAAAACTCAAATTGTGGAGTGTAACGGCGAAGAGGAAACTCAGACCGCCTATAATGAGAATGACGTAGTAGCAAACTTGGATGCTGACGTTAGCAATGCGTCAGTGTTACCAGAATCGACGACCAACGACACGTGCTCGGATTCTCCGGCGAAGCAGAAGGACCTGGAGGCTTTAATGGCGGCAGATGTTGGCGAAAGCCCCAGCAGTGGCAGTACCAGAGGAACCTGGTCTCCTTCAGCCTCCCCATCGACCAGTATTCTTAAGAAGGGCCTGAAGAGACCGCTAGAGGAGGAGACTACCTCACCTCTTGTCAAAGTAAGTGACAAAGCATTTGTACAATCTGCAAATGCATTTCCAACACTCATGTGCTCCTCTTTAAAGTCTTTATTTTCTCCTTTACCTTTGCAGTCTAGACGTGTGTCTTTTGCTAATCCAATCCAACATCAGGAACTAGCAGACGACATTGATCGTCGCAGCCCCGCTATCAGAACCAGCTCCCCCAGAAGATCCAAAGGCAGCGCTATCCCACAGCCGAAGGTATGAATGAGGCCAGCATTTTTCCTGATTGCCATATTTCTGATTCAAACCTTTTTCTTAAGCAAAAGATCTTCTTGGATCTAACACGACACCCTTCTGCTGTTCTAGTTTGTTACTACACCAACAAAAGGCCTGCTGATCCTGAGTCCCAGAAATCTGCACAGTCCAGGTTACAAGAGCTCCAAGAAATGCCTGGTATGCACGTCACACATTTAAAATCAACATTCGTTATTGTCACCATTTAGAGTCCTGTTTCTGTTTGTCCAATGCTTTGGTTTTTGACCAAATACTTGCTAAATGAATGTCTTTCCAACCAGCATCAGCTGTACTTTTTGTTTACTGCTAATTAGCAAATGTTACCATGCTAGCACACATTGTAAACATACTTGATAAACATCCACATGCAATGATTATCATTCTTAGCATAGCATACATGTTACCCACAATGCAACTTGACCGGTGACCCGTCTCCTTTTAAAGTGCTGTGAACTCGGTATGATCAGTGGGTGGCTAAAAAGCTCCATACAGTTCTCTGTTGGTGCATCAATGAAGCACTTCTGCAGTGTTGGTTCTCAGTTGGAGGCTGTTAGTCCTGATGCTAGGCACAACCTTTCTCACCCCAGATTTCCGAAATGAGCCATGAGCCGCGGCCCGTCTCCAGAGACTGCATCTATCCTGCCCTGGTTGGCTGCTCTACGCCTGTAGAAGCTGTGCTGCCTCAGATATCTTCCAACATGTGGTGAGTACCGCACAGGGTTAATAACAGGAAATATTTAATCTAGTGTCTTATCAGGTGCATCTATCTGTTAACGGTGTTGCTCGTCCTCATAGGTCTCGGGGTTTCGGGCAGCTTGTTCGAGCCAGAAACATCAAGACTGTCGGTGACCTCAGTGCTCTTACTCCCAGTGAAATCAAGACTCTTCCAATTCGCTCTCCGAAGATCTCCAATGTCAAAAAGGCACTTAAAAGTTATGAACAACAGGTATGCCAGTGAGTTAGAGGGCCGTGAACAGCATTGAGACCACACAGCACAGACGTATGAAGGTTTGAATTCTTGTATTTAATATCTTAACAATTCTCTTCTAGCGTAAAGGACGAGGTGGTGATGAGTTGAAGAGTTTTGATGAAACGGAGATGATGACCTCTGAACTGGAGGAGACCAGTGCTCCTCAAAACCAGGATGAGGAGGACAAGACCTCAGGAGAGACACTAGGTGGGTAGAAATCTGTGCCACTGGGATTACATGGTGTGACTCAAATTTTAAAAACAATCTTGAAATTTCACCAAAGAATTGTTTCTTGCCTTTATGCTAAGCTTATTTGTCGTAGCGTCATATTCACCGTTTATAGAGCCTTTTTACAGATTGTAAACAAAGCTGATGTGTGCGCCCACGAAGTTTGGCAACGGAAGTACGTTGGAGTGCAACAGGATGTCGCAAATGCAACCAAAAAAAGCCAACCATTAACATAAGTTCCTACGAGCAACCACGAGCGCATTTGGCTGATCATCAGTTAACACGGTCACTCGTTAAAGTGAAACAGCCGTGATTCTGTAGAACCTGAGTCCGCTGTTGGGGATATCGATTCCGACAAAAGAACACGCAACATACAGACATTTTGTTTCTGTTAACACATTTAATTCAGTGTTTACAGCTTCCTAACTCGTCTGGTTGGCTGAGGTGAAACGCCACTTGTGTTGCAAACATGTGCACGTTGGCTGTAAAAGGGTCTTTCGACATACGCGGTGTATTGGTCCTCTTAACTTTTTAAGTTTAACGTCACCTTTCCATTTACAGCAACAGAGCTGCTGGACGAGCCACTTCCTGCAGATGAGAGGCCCGAGCGCGACATCTCCGGAAATCAGACGCCCGACACGGCGGCCGGAGGACGTGAACCAGAAGGACGGCTGCGGTCAGAGGTGGAGGCGCTGACCGGCAGAATGACGCCGCTAGAACTCAGTTACTGCTCCCCACAGCAGCTCGTTCACATCCACGACCAGCTAGGAGGCATGATGAGGCGCGTGGTCGTCGAGCTGCAGACGCGCCTCTGAAAGACGGACGTCGGACCCTGAACGGACTTCTTCTGCTGGATCAAACGGATGCACAAGTGTTAGAAGACCCATAAAAAGACGAGAGGAATCTGATTTTATTTATCCTACAACAACAGATTTTTACAAAGGAAGATTTTATGGTTTTAACTCTGAATGCCTTGTCTTTTTTTTTTTTTTTTCTTGAAGTGTTTTTTTTTTTTAATTAATTAATTCTAGCAGCACTTTCTCCCGATCTGTAGCTTGAGCTGTTGGATAGTTTGTATGATTTTAAGAAACACTCAAAGGGAAGCACAGTCACACTTTTCCAGCTGTGTCGAAATAAGAAAGCGATTTTCACGAATGGTGACTTATGATTACAAATATATGTAGAAGAACAATATTATTTCTCACCAATTCTGTTCCAATTTTGTACATATTCTTTGTCATTTAAATCCTTCATGTGCCTGTTTTTAGGCTGTTTACAACTTAACTCTTGTATATTTTGTTTTTTTTACGATTTCTTAGTTTGTAAACCTTTTTCTGTCATTTCAAATGAACGTCTTCTTGCATTTTTAAAGTCATGACGCATACTGTAGATGGTGGCAGACGGTCTGCACTAATGTTTTTATTTGTTTTAAATGCTTCAATAAAAGACAACTTCGATTTTTCTTGATTTTTCTAAATGACATAAACTCTTGAGTGTTTATAGGTGCAATGTTAAACCTTTTAATGGATGTCGATATATCCCAATATATCATCCTTTAAAATGTCTTTTTAAGACAGAAGTTGTTCATCTTGCATTGAAGCTGTAGTGGTTTGATATAGAGTCAGAGGAGCTCAAATATTCAGATAACTATTATTTTAAAACGATGACTTTGTTCAACGATTTGAATCTCTGGGCGTTTCTAATTCAACCTGTATGTTCCCCGGCAGGCTGTTCAGCTCTTATTCTTGCTGCTGCCATTAAAAGATCACAGAACAAAGTCGTCTTCGTTCTGTGTAAAAATGTTTTCTAAAGTTTCTCTGAAGATGAGGCTTCGACAGTCAAATCAAGTGAGTCTCTCTCAAAGTGTAAAATTCTGTTTTTCTTTGAGCAGCAGTTGAGACATTAAACACTAAACGGTCTCATTTTACAAGATCTCCACTTAATTTAACACACAAGAAATCTGCTTTCCATAATTATCTTGGGATATTAGAGACACTTGATGTTCCTCTTGCTATTTCTCCTGGAGAACCCATTCTGTAACTGGGTTTCTAACTGGCCTTCACTCCACCACACATGCAGTTAATGGTACACGGTGGTGTTTTCTGGTTTGGGTTTATTAAGGTTCAGGGAAACACTGAATTACTCATTTCAAGTTGCTCCACAGGACAAACTACACAGAAATAAATGTTTAAATGGTATTTCTCTGTTCAGAATTGAGGAATGTTTTGTGTGTAAGCCCGCATGTTTAGCACATAATTGCATGTCTATGTGATGTCTTTTCTCCCGGTTGACCTCACTGTGAGGTCTCTGAATCAGAGCATCACTTGGTTTATAGAATTACATTACTGTGAGGAAGTTAGCTAAAAGCCTAGAATGTAAATGGAAAGCGATCGTAATGATAATATAATAGAATGTGACAGAAGGTGCCGCTGACTCCTCTTCCTCTTCATCCTCTCCTGATGATGAGCAGGCTTCTCTTTGGCTCGGCGTGTTGGTAATTATCTGATTATTTCTGCAGAGCGCTGCCAGAGGCTGCGTTGCATTTCCACAGTTTATTGAGATAAGTCGGGACTCGGCGTGCAAGCTTAGCAGATTGGGCTGCAGCTCTGCTGGACGATGACCAGGAAGAGAAGCGGCACCAACGGACATCTCCCACTGCAGGACGAGAGCTGCCACAGCGGAGGAGACGACACCGAGGTAAGATCACAACGCATGTGAACACTCGGTCATTTTAAACCTCTGATAGCTCAACTATGAGAAGCATCAGTGTGTGTGTCAGCGTTAGCAATCGTGATAAAATGTCAGGATGAATATCCTGAGGTGCACCGTCTTCTTTTGAGTGGGTCAGCAGTTTTCCAAGTATTGTATCTTTAAGAAGTCTGATCATTTGTATGTTGATGCTGATTTAGAAAATGTCTCAGCGGAAGTTAGTTAATTGTCTTGAGGTATCAACACTTATTGTAAATTCAAAGCGTGTAAGTTTGCATCTACCGGTACCTTATAGTAAACAGTAGAGTGATCTGTCTTTTTCTGCCTTATTGCTGTAATAAATAACTTCATGAAGTATGAACTATGTAAACAAGTTAGTGAGATTTTCTCCTCGTCAGCGCAGACCTTTACAGTATTTTACTTGATTGAAGAACAAGAGATTTAAAGCTTGAATATGCGACTTGTAATCTGTGTTTATTGCGAGAGAGCTGACACTGCACTCTGAGAGGAAAGAGTTAAAGGTTTCAGGGGCCTTATTTATCAAAGCAAGGTCTGAATCTGTCTGAGAGAACTCCCCATTACACAGAACAAGTGGTGACTTATCGAGCGTGCATGAATCCACCTGCTCTACATCCACCTGCTTCTCCTCTACCAGTAGGGTTGTTTGTTTGTTTGTATTGTCAGAAGTGGTGATAAATGAATCTATTGAATCTGATTCAACGTGTTGAAGTGATGGTTTGTCAACGAGGCCTCAGATCAGATCTTTTGAGAAAAGCAAACCTAAATTAACACATTAAGTTTCCATTTTTTCATCGTTATGTAAAGTTTAGTGTAGATTTTTAACATTCTGTCGTTGCAGGAAGTGAGGAGATGCTGACTCAGCTGGTTTTGGGGTGGACTGCCTTGCTCAGCGGCCTGCAGCCGGCTGTTGCCTTAAGTGAGTACAAACATGAGCCAGAGGCAACCAGACCTTATGATCAATCCATGGATGGATTACCTGGCACAGGCCCAGGGGCCCAAAGTGTCAGGGCCCCCCCCATGCCTTCACCTACTAAATGCCACTCAAAGAGACATGTACCAAACAGGAAGAGACATAAAATGACTACAAAGAGACACAAATGGACTACAAAGAGCTCATAAAAAATACTACAAAAGAGATGCAGAACAGCTGCAAAGAGACTCACGACGACCATAAAAAGGGTCAAAACAACCACAAACGGACTCAAAGCAGCGACAAAGAGATGCAGAAAGACTAGAAAGAGAGGCAAAACACCCACAGACAAGACGTGACTACAAAAAGACACAAAATGTCCACAAGAGACACTAAGCAACAAAAAGAAGCTAAACTTCTATAAACTATAAAGTCTGTGTGTTTTGTTCCTATCTAGGAGAGGTGGTGGGGCCTTCTGCATGTCTTGCATGTCTCTTTATCCTCCCATGGATCAAACCAGTTGCCACTTGACAAATTGGAAAATACTCACACGGGACACAAACTGTATGTCGTCATTGTGGAGCAGATTGACAGCAACTAACATGACTTCAGTTAACAGGAACATTGAGTGTTCACTTCAGACGTACAGAACATTACGTCTGTCTGTCTGTCTGTCTGTCTGTCTGTCTGTCTGTCTGTCTGTCTGTCTCTCTCTCTCTCTGTGCAGGATTTCTGTCGAGCAGAGACAGCAGGTGGTCTGCTCTGAAATGTGAAGTCTTCTTCCCTCCTCCACCTCCGCCGCCTGTGTTTCCTACAGTCAGACGGAAAGCAGAGCTGATGGTGATGACACACACACACACACACACACACACACACACACACACACACACACATACATTACTGTATCAAGAGTGCATTCAAGTTGAGCTCAGTTAAAGCCCCTGCATGTAGACTCAATCAGTGTTTTTCTTTATAATAGGAAGGACCAGTGCTGCACTCTTCAGATCCTCCACATGGGGGCTTCAAATGTTAAGTGTATTCACAAACATATTCTGAATGCGTGACACTAAATCATGCTGATTTGCATTGAACTCCTCAGGTTGACGTGACGGAACACATCACAGGAGCCAAAGGGGAAAAGGTATGTCACACCTCGGTTATGAATTATCCTTCTTTATAACCACAAACCAAGAAATGTGTTATTAAATAAACTGTGTGTGATGTAAAGTAGTAGGCTACTCTTTTTATTATTAGCACTATGCAGCAAACATTAATAGTGTTTGTGTTTAAAGGGCTGCAGAGGACCCAGAGGACCCAAGGTACAGTGTAACACACACACACACACACACATGTGTGTAAGCATTCAGATCCTCACGCTGTTTCAAACTGCTGTGTGTGTGTTTTAGGGGCCACCTGGTGTGACGGGTCCAGAGGCAGAACCTGGAGCACAAGGACCCATGGGACAGCCTGGTCAAAAGGTCACAGAAAGACTACTCGTGTGTTATCAAACCACCAGCTATCATACGCTGACATACAGAGCTCTCACGTCTAAAAAAGACAACAGATGGGATGTAAACTTCTCTGCGGGAAGGAAAACTGAAACTGAACTTGAGAAACTGAACGAGTCAACCAATCGGCAGTCCCTTTTTCTAGTGTTGTGTGTTAGTGTTGAAGGTTCACCAAAGGAGTTATTGATTGGGTTTTAAAGTGTGTAGCAAAGCAATGTGTAAATATATTAATTGACATAACGGTATGATTGGACCGTGACTCTTTATATGCTGTGTTTTGATGTTTCCACAGGGGGAGAACGGGGGCCGAGGCTGGAGGGGCCTTTATGGAGACATAGGAACCCCCGGGATGATAAAGGTACATCGTAGCTTCATGCTGCGTTCATTCAGCTCCTGTCGACTCATAGATGATGAGAACAGTCATGTCTCCACATCAAATACTAGCTGGTTTAATGCATATCACATGACCTTATGTAGACTACATGTACATGAAGCCAGGCAGCAACAACCACTGCTACAACAGGCTGCGTGTATCATGCAGCATTCTCCTCCTCTTAAGCTATCTGCGCTATCTCTATTTTGTGATCAAGTGTGTTTTATTCGGATCATGTTGCAGTCTTGTTTAAGTCATTCTATTGTTCATACTGTGGGCTTATTGTTCTCTGATGTCTGGAGCACTGACCACATTTCCCTGCGTGGGATAATAAAGTTGATCTGAATCTGAAGTTAGTGGAAGACGATAGAACTAATAACACTTGTGTGTGTGTTCACAGGGCAGTAAGGGACGTAAGGGATTCAGGGTGAGTCACCGTTACGCTGCTCGTCTTCTCTTTTGGCTTTATACACTTGGAACACCGCTGGCTTTCCTAAAGAGCAACACTCATGTGATCGCCGCTTATTTCCATCCCTCCATCAGGGGGATACAGGTGTGAGAGGAAACAGAGGACCCGGTGGAGAGCAGGTGAGGGGGAAACATGCTGGAAAGGTGACATGATTGATAGGAATGATGGAAGCGGTTTGTACCAGTGGGTCCGTGTGTCTCTTCAGGGCGAGCGTGGCGTCGCGGCAGCGCCAGGAGAGAAGGTAGAAGACCGGCTGACATGACTTAAGTGCAAAGAATAAAAGTGAGTCGAGAGTAAAGCTGCGGTGACGTGCTATTCTGTGCTGTGCCGTTCCAGGGCGATCCAGGCCAGTGGGGAGATGCAGGGCAGAGGGGTGAGCAAGGACCCAGAGGAGAGCCTGGAGGCAGAGGAACCCTGGTAGCTATAAAGAGTGGACACATATACAAATAACTATATATGTATATACAGTACATATATATATATATATATATATATATATACATACATACATGTACAACTGCCTCTGGCAGGAAACTCACAATCTAATCACATGTATTTCAGTCAGTCAGTCATTCATTGAATAAGATAAATCACTGTGCACAGGGGTCGAAGGGTTATCGTGGACCTGCAGGAAGGCTGGGTCACCCCGGTCCCGCGGGGCTGTCCGGTCTGACTGGAGAGCCCGGTCTAGCTGGACAAGGTGTGTGTGACAGCAGGAAGGTTTATGCAGTAGTGTACGGGAAGTTGACCTTTGCACCCTGATATTGATTACTAACCAGCAGTTCTGGTTTGCTTTTAAAAGAATGAAAAAGATGAAATTAGAATCAATTAGTGAGCGGGAACATGACTTCTATTAAAAGGAGAAACTCAGAGCAACAGGATGTTGAATGTGGCATGAACATGTTAATGATCACTTGTGTTGTAGTGTACGTCCTACCAGGCCTGCTGGGAGACACAGGAAACAGAGGTCCCTCAGCCAAATGCAACTGTTCACAGGTTCAAACCCCAGAGCGGCTGTGGGACAGAGTCCAGACGGTCAGTGTCTCTCTCACACACGCACACACACACACACACTTTGTATCTTGTGCGAACAAATTAATAAATTATAGCTTTGACATCAATAATTTGTCCTCTTTATGGCCTCTCCCCAGCTCCATAGTTAGTGACTTATTACTCCGTGCTCCACAATGCTGACTGGCTCCTTCCGAATGAAATAAATAAATGCTCGTATGTTCCCTGTGTGTAACAGGCTTGTATCTGTCTGTCTCCAGATCTTCATCGCAGACGGAGAGGGACAGATGAGGAGGCTGCGGGGGGACAATGTGATGGTGCTTCGGACCGACAGAAAAGCTCTGTACATCTACTCTGAATCTCAGTGGATCAACGTGTTGGTAACTGCTGCTGGAGACGCATCAAACACACCAGCAACAAGTAGTAATGTAATATAAAGAAGTGGGAACCACCCCATGAACTGGTTTGAGTAGTTAACCAATCACAGTAATGTACAAGTGAAGGTGTAGTTGCCACAATGACAGATGCAATGACTTCATTCTCTCATTAACTATTCCTCTTTCTGTTTCTATGCTGCTTCCTGTTGGGACCAGGAGGACCCCAGACACTAACCCCACTGCATTCAACACAGGCTGAAGTGCCCTCGAGCAACAACCAGCTCAGGCTGTGGTTGTACTGGGAAGCCTCCAGATGTGGATGTTAGTGAGAGCGATCAGGGTCCTGACAATCCACTCATGTTAAATAAAGGATGTTCTTTCCTCTGTACAGCTCCTCTAAGATGTATTATTATTTATTGCAATTATATATTTCAGTGAGTCTTAACTTCAGCATTTCCTCTCATGAGATTTACACACGCATGTGAATTGTTCCAGCCTGTTACCATTAAACACTCCCGATCCATAGTGTTCCTCTTTGTTTGAACTGTTTAATTGTAAAGTTTTCCTCTTGTGAATAGTTTTATTTAATTATTCTAGAATGCATTTTTGATTTAACGTATCTCTCTGTATATGCTGCTGCTGAAGTAATCAAGCTCCTACAGAAAGATGAATACAAATCTGATTACCAGTTACATTGATATCTGAAGCTGTAGGTTTTCTCCGATTTAGTCTCCATGTTTCATAAAAAGATCATAGTATAGTATGACATAAAAAGTATTGTATGACATGAGAAAGTCATAAAGATAATCATAGAATGTCATAAAAGTCATAGTATAAATAACTTTTTATGACATATACCATGACTTTTAAAATATATCTCTCTGACATAATATACAAGGAGTTTTTTATGACATAGTATACTACGATGTTTTTGACGACATACTATATTATGACATTATTAATTACCCTTTTGTAGCATATTATGCGAAGCCTTGTTTGTAACTACAATTTCCAAAACAAAGACTGTAATGTAATTAAAACAAAATCAAATACAGAATTTAAAAGGTGCGAGACCCGAGATAGCAGCATTTCTCAACGGTTCTCAACATGGAGACGGCTGAGCCGTTGGTTTATAGCTAACAGCGCTAACAGCGCTAACAGCGCTAACAAACAGCGCAACGTACGTCAGAAGTGCTAGCAGAGCTAACAGAGGTTAGCTGAGGGGGAACCGGATTGCTATGTTACAACACACACAGAGGGAGAGCGACATTACTCCACTATATCTTTATATTGCAAATAGCTGTTTGCTGCTATATTAATGTTTCAGAAAGTTAAATGCAGCTCCTTTAAAAAACATCCATCTTTGTTGTTGGCAGTTTTTCAGGCAATAACTGTTTGAAAGCCGAGTATACCACAGACTCAACTTCCCTTGTTGAAAACACGATTTAGCAAATTGAAATGGAAGGCTAATACTTTCATGTTCACCAAGAGGGGAGCATGTTGACTAGTGTGACTGTTTTGGTTTAATATTGTGTAGAGGAGGCTGTCATATCATTAGATATCAAAGTCAGTTTAAAGACCGACTGAAAATCCCATCAATCCCTGGTAACAATCACACGAGACCTGTGGAAGAAAACTCTGTAATCTTGTCTTTGGTTTGACTCATTTCTCCTTTATTTTAAATGCAACAGCAGGTTTGACACCCCAGCAGCCGTGTGCTCTGCCGGGTGTCCTTGAGCAAGATGTTTCACGACATTGATCAGTTTTAAACTGCATGTTGTTCTCGAGTGTCACTGAAATACACCATGATGTAGACTTAGTGATTATTTTCCTGCAGGGCAGTGGGCACAGGAAGTACTTCCCTCGGGTGAATTCCCCCCCCCCCCGAACAATATCACAAAACAGATTTGATCATAAAACTAATTGAAACAAATTTTGTAACTATGACAATTGTACATTCAAATTAAAATCAGAGTACTTCAAAAAACAGAAACGATTGCACGTTAAAAATCACAGCTGGAGTTGGCGTCTGTGCTGTTGCACCGGTGGACATGCGGATCATTTGAATCTACTGCAACGGAGATAAAATACAGGAAACCAGACCGACGTTCAGCTGCACATCAAAAAACCTATGACCAGTAAATGTATTGTTAAAAAAAGCCTTTATCAGCTGATCTGGACACAGTTTGTTTCATGTTTCTGTAACTGTAAAAGTGTGGAAGGATGCCCGCAGACTAGCTAACTATTGAACCGACTGGGTATCTAATCTGATGTATGGAACATACTATTGGGACTATTCGCTGACTAACAGACATTCAAACATGTTGCTAAAGACAACAATCAGACCTGTCTGACATTACGTACTGACTAACTAGATAACTCATCCCCAAAGCGACTCAGAGGTGTATCCATTAGGCCTCTTCCTCTAAGTGCCGCTGCTGCTGCTGCTTTAGAGTGCTTACAACACCTCCTGGTGCACTCTTCCTTTCTCTTTGTGTGGAAACCCTTTAAGCACTTAAGGTAATGTCAGTAGGGTCAGAGAATAGCTTGTGCCTATATTTAGAATCCTAATTCTGTCCAAACAATAGTCCAAAACCCAACAGATTTCAGGTCACCATCATAAGAAAACCAATACATGTTTGAGATACTGCTTTAAACACAACTTCAATTATTATAAAACTTGTTGCAGATGAATTTCCCGTCTATTGACTTACAGTTAATCAAGTTATGATTTCAAATATCTGGCTGAAATTAGGCAAAATTCAAAGAAGCTCTGTGTTTGTCCCTCATTAGAATACCTAACGCAGTAGATGAGGCTGCAGTTTAAAGTGACAACAACAAACAATGTTGTTGTTTACAACAGCAGGAGCAGAAGCAACACACAGAAATGACCCCGACTCAGAAATAACGAATCATATCTGGATGTTGGAGCAGTTACAGGATTCTCCTGTCAAATTCTGTTCAGCTGCAACTGAGGCCTCCCGGCATGAGCACATTGTTTGATGCTACCACTGGGTGGCGCTAGTTTGACTACCACCGGTGTTAGTTGCTGCTTGTTGTCCCACACCAGCTCCTCCAGGGCTTCGTTTAGTTTTTTCAGGCACTTGTTCCCTGGGCTTAAGTAAACACAAATCGTTTAATAACTACGAGCAAAAGTGACCAGTTGTTAAAGATGACAAACATGACTTATTTACCCAGCAAATCCTTGATCTCCTTCTGTCACAGTGTTCATTGTAGCCGGGTACCAAAGAATTACCTCACTGCTAAGTTGAATAAACTGAATATAGAGTTTATTCCAAGTCTGCCATCAACATGTTTCCAAATAGTTTTGATGTTGCTCAGGCTGAGCTCAGATTTAAAGGGCGTCTTTGGGACAGCACTGATACTATTAACAAGTTTAAATCTGGATGATCTGTTATTTGGACAGCTGAGGTCGGGGAGGTCAAGGTAGATCTAAATGTGCACGCTACGTCCCGATTGCCTCCAAGACATCGGACCTTACAGAGAGAAGGGGACGCGTGAGAACAAAAAACGCCTGTAATCTGAGCACAGCCTTACCTGCAGGTTATCTATCTGATTTACAACGTATGTATTCTATCAGTGTGCAGTTATGAGTTAAGTCTTATATCCTGTGGGCTCACCAACCAACCAGCCACGATGCTCCAAATACAAAGACATAAAATCAGAGGAAATGATCCAAATATGAACGAGTTCGGTAACTCAGATACAGACCCATGTCCAGTCAAACTCTCTTTTGACACTTCTTAAAAACTTAAAATAATTATAATAATAATAATAATATCTTTCCAGTATTAAATAATCTTATATAAAAACACACACAAAAAGTTTGAAATAAATGGCAATGCCCCCCCCCCCAGTTCACAACATACATTTCTATACACGTCGCCCCACTTCAACACCTCTCCTTCCTTCCGTTGGTCCCTCCTTCCCTTCATCGGTAACGTTACTTCCTCCATGCAGTACCAGGTATTGTGCAGCACATCGTCTCTGTTGTCATTCAAGTCTTGTCTTTTGTATATTTCAATGCAAAGCTGCACAGACATTGTGAAAAAAGCTTGATAGGTGATTTTTCTGGCTTGCTTGTATACAGATATATATATATACATATATATATATATTTTTTTTTTACTCATGTCATTGGGTTAAACATGTATTGGTAATGATAGTAATAATGAGGATAATAGGAACAATCATAATCTTAGATTAAGAGTAGGAAAGACGGCTTGCTACTTGCTCGGAAACCAAGGGTGGATGGTTTAGGATGAGGAGAGACGGACAAGTCAAGACAGACATTGATTATTTCTTCTCTGCATGAGACCTAAATAGTCAGTTCAGTTCTTTAGGCTCCACCCAGCGTTCTCGCTCCCTACCAGTCACCGGTCAGTTTGGTGCTTTGGTCCCGTTTTGGAGGAGCGGGAGGAGGGCCTCGCCGCAGCGTTGCATAGCCTGAGATGTTGGCATGTTTGGTGGAGTGGGAGTGCGTGTGGTGGCGAGACAAAGTTTGGGAGTGTCCTCGGACGCCCTGCTGCTGCAGGAGCTCGGGGGGAGGAGGCGGTAGCAGCGCCATGTCGTCCATGGTGCCCACAGGCTCCATCTTAGAGGAGGGGATGAGGTGGGAAGACGTGAGCGAGCCATGGCGGGACACCGACTTCCTCTTCAGGGTGCGGTTGAGGTCTTCCAGGAAGTGGGGCTTCAGTGTCAGGGAGCTCGGCCCCGGGGATTTCGGGGAGGTGGGGGGGATGGGAGAGGAGGAAGAGGAATAAGAGGACAGGGAGGGAGGCGGGGTCTGAGACAGAGGAGGCGGAGAGAGGGGCATCGACGTCGTGTTGTCATACTGGGTCGTGTTGCTAATCCGCCGGTTCAGTGTCGGAGGAAGGACGGCCCCCTTTTTCAATGACCCTTGTTTCCATGACGACGACGACAAGGAGGAAGGTGCCGACTGTTGAGGCGGATGCATCTGAGGCTGGGGGTTCACCACGGCCACCTTTGGCGGGTGATGGAACTCTGACGGGTGGGGAGGAGGAGGGAAAAGCTCAAAGTCACTGGGGGGAGGCGGGAAGTAGTCGGGGGATGAGTCGAGGTGAGGAGGCTGGGCGGGGGGAGGTGGGGGAGGAGGGGATGGGAACTCAGAGGGCGGATGGTGCTGGCATGTTTGCAGCCCCTGGAGGGCCAACGGCAGGTTCGCCAAGTTCAGCTTCCCCGGCTTCGGAAGCGGAGCAGGAAGTGCAGAGGAATCTTTCGAAGGAGACCCAGTCGCCGACGAGGAGCTGGACGAGGTACCCGTTTGAGGAGTTTGGCCAAATTTGCTGACCAGGCTCTCCACCTTGTTTGGCCTCTCATCCTGGGTCTCGCCCGCTGAGCTACACCGGATGGAGGAGGCTCTCTGCGGGGCCAGCGGAGGCCCACGCTTGTTGGATCCCGTGGACGAGGTGGAAGGCGACTTTTTTATGGGGGAGCCCGTCTTGGAGGAGGATGAAGACGGGGGTGGAGGGAACTCTCCAATCGAGCTGTCAGAAGGAGGTGGGGGGAACTCTGGGGACTGCGGAGCCACAACGCCTCCTGGCTGCCACTTTGGTTTGGCCTTGACTGCCGGGGGAGACTGAGGAGCGGTGAACTTCGATCCTTCCATGGAATTGGAGGCGGGCAGAGAGGAAGGGGCAGAGTTTCCTGGGAACTGATTGACAATCTGTTTGACCAAAGAGGAGGTAGCGGCCGCGATGGAGACGGAGGAAAAGGAGGAGGAGGGGGAGATGGTTAGGTTTTTGGAGGAGAGGCTGTGCTGCTTCGGCAGAGTGGGAGGTGGCTGATTTGGGGAATGTCCTGTTGAGAAACTCTGCTGCTTTTTAACTGGCCCATGACCGCCAAAGGACTGAGTTGGTGACACAGGTGACAGGGCGATTGGAAGGGAAGAAGGACCCGAGGGTTTGCGGGCGGTTTGAGGGGGAAAACCACCAGTGAAGGTTTTGGGAGGGGCAGGAGGGGGCGCGTTGGGGGACAGAGGCCGGAGAACTTGCAGGGTGGCTGGAGGAGAAAGCTCGGCTGGAGGTGGAAGAGGAGAATTATCCTCAATCATCTCTTGGCTGAAGTCATACACCATGTGAGGAAACTTCTGTGACAGGAACTCCTGGAGGCCACTGTTGGAGAAGTTATTGCAGAGGTCGGAGATGGGCTCTGGTGGGGGAGGCAGAGGTAACCCGTTGGCCTCCGGGCTCTCCGGTGGAGGAGGCGGGAGGTAGGAGGGCTCCTGCACATCCTCCTCCAGCGGGGGCGGCGGTGGGAGCCCAGAGGGGCTTATTGCACCGAATTTCAGCGCGGCCATGGCGGAGCCAGCAGCCGGCGTCACAGGCGGCGGAGGAGGAGGGGGAGACGGTGGCAGCGGAGGGGAGGTGCTGTAAGGAGCTGGGAGGGTGTTGTAATTGGATTTGGTAGACTGGTTGGGAAGGGCAGGTAATGGGGCGGCTCCGGCCGGCTGCGTCCAGGACTGGTTCTGGCTCTGCAGGCGAGCCAGCGTGCTGTACTTGATGTATGAGGGGGTCGTTGTAGTCTGATGGGCCACATTCACCATGGGCGGAGGTGGAGAGGGCGGTGACGGGGAGGAATCGTCAGATGGGACGAGGCCGTCGGTGTAGCTGGTCCGGGAGGGCGGGATCAGGGGCTGGGGGGAGAGTATCTGGACAGGGATAGGCCTACTGATAGGGTCGATCCTCATCATCTGCAGAGAGAAATGGAGAGGAGGAGACGTAGAGACAGGAGGTGAAGAGACACGAGAGAAGGGGGTGATGAGAGGGAGAAAGAGACACTAAATTAAATCAGGTTACAAAAAAAAAAACCTCTACCATTGTTATGTTGAAACCAAACAATCCCAGACAAGATGCAAGTAATCAAACAACAAACGAGTGCAGTCTGAGAACACACAGCTACTGAAACTCCAAGCACACTGCAGCCCTGAATGAGGTCACAACACCAAACTTAGCTGTCCTACAATAATCACTTTGACGATGGACGTTATATTTATCACAGCTTTGTACATTTTTCCAATCAAGTTGTGCAGAATGTGCCCTATGTTGGTCAAGCCCCCAGTGTGTAAAGCCCCTCACTCATAACACCAGGCTGTTCTTCTGTTATTAGCTTAAACTGACCTTCATGATGTTGCATTCCACTGAAGCGCATGTTGGGCAGATCTTTACACAGCTTCATTAAACAGAGTTTCATAGATTATCTGGTTCTAAACTGGGTTAAATAGCTGGTAAACTGGATCTAGACTGTTATAAAAGTTCTCTTAATTCTGTTAATCTGGTCACAAATGTGTCAAACACGTTATATGCTGAACAGCGTCATTATGTTGATGTTATTTGTTGGTTAGGACATTCCATCACACCACGAGGTTAGAACAAATCAACAGTTGAGCTGCAGCCATTTGAAAACAGGGATATACAATGCAGCAGTCAAGTTCACAACAAACTAGTATTGTTTCTGATTTAATGTACGCCATCAGTACTTGTACATATCCGCCATCAGTAAAGAGCAACTCCAAAGTGTTTAGCAGCTTGATAACCACTTGGTTTTTTTGGCCTCTTTAGATTGGTACAGTTTAACGCTGGTGAATACGAGTAAACGTAAATATAGTATTTACCACAGAAGGTTGAAAAAAAGTTATCTTTTGTCTTATTAACTCTGTGGATTAATATCTTCTGAAAATCTTTTATAGATTTTAAGTTCAGCTCAGATAAATTAAAAAGCGGCTCAACAAAAGAAAAGAAAATCAGAACACTTACAAGATCCAATAAGTCAAATATATCCTCAGTAAGACACCTTAAACAAATAAATAATAATAATACATTTAAATGTGTCTGTTATATTCTGCAGAGTGAGGCAGATCCCCTCTGTGTAGACTCAGGCAGACACGTCACAGGGACATTGAGTTTCATAGCAATAGCCGCCGCTACATCCACGAGTGCTCATTAAAGTAGTGAGATGCAAACCGCTTCACAAACATCTTCATGTTTCAAAGGCTGCAGCCAAACTGTCAACATGCCTGTTTACATCACTTCCTGTCTAACCTCCACTCCCTCCTCCTCCTGCACAAAGAGGAACTGGCATACGTCCCTTCGCCTTTGACCGCTGGCAGGGAAGCAGAGGGGGGAAACATGGGAAATGTAGTCCGAACGTAAACAGGACAATGACAGGAGCGCTGTTTGAGCGTGTGTTCGCACCTCTCCTTGCGTTCCTCTCCTCCAGGCGTCGGAGAAGATGGAGCTGACGGCGCTCTGGGAGCGGGTGTGGCCCGATGACGTCATCTCTGACACGCCGCTGTCCGATTGGCTGGAGTGGTTGGACTGGGACTCTGTGGTGTGGACACGCATGCAGAAGTTAGTTTGGTTTAATTTTGATGCCAATTCTATTTGATATATTTATGGATATTATAAATATTGAAAAAGGACTGTGGTTAATTGTTGCTGCTTTTGTATAACCTGTGGAAAAATCTCTTAAAAATAGACAGACCTGGAAGGCTGGAGCTGGATCCTGACTTGATGGAGGAAGAAGAGAGGGAGGACCAATCATAGGCCGCCTCCGTCCTCCTCATCGCCTCCTGGAAGTTGATGTACAGTTGCTTCCCGTACTGAGAGACAGACAGACGACAGGTGTTGGCAGATATGCAACTACATGAAAATATATATATACGGGCAGCAAAATGTTTTACCTTGGCGATTCGAATACTGTTGATCCACTGTTGGAGGGTTCTGACATCGTCACAGCAGAGGTACTTGATGTACTGAGACTTCTTCTGGATCTGAGGATGCTACACACACACACACACACACACACACACACACACACACACACACACA